GTGTGTGTGTGTGTGTGTGTGTGTGTGTGTGTGTGTAGAGGCTGGATAAACACCTTATCAATATTGGAAGCTGCAATTACTGGCTGTAGACTAGACTGGCACCAGTGTGAGATGTAATGGTTTCCTGTGACTTGGCTACTTGACTGGTAATCACTACGTCTGCCTGGATTCTTTCTTGCTAATTATTGTTCTTCTCCCCCTTCACAAAGAAATCCCTCTGCAATTGATTTGTAACCAAGTATTGCTGTCTGCGTTTTGACCTTTTTTTTAAATTAATTCCTGTTGCACTGCAGGTGATTAAAGAGGAATGTGCATAAAAGCATTAWACTTTTCATATTTTTAAGTCTAAGTGCAATATTCTCATGCACTTGGGCTGTGTTTGTGTTCTTGTGCACTTGTTGGTTACTTTTTCCACAGGATATGACTCAATGTTTGCTAAAATGTTTGAAAAATGTCTTTTCAGGAATTGCTGCTTCCTGACAAAAGTGATAAGCAATTAGATTTCGATTCTAGACGAAAAGTGTTTTTATAAAATTTACATGATGTTGACATCAGAAGGAAATGGAAAGGAACAGTCAAACAGGCTTCAAAGAAATGCTCAACAGTTTGTATTTTGTAAATCCGGGGTCTGTAACCTTAATAATATAAATATAACATATAGAGCCAGAAGACAACTTGATTTTTAATTAAAGATGAACTGATTTATTAAGTTTACTTAATCATAACGTATATTTAATACTACGGTTGATTGTTTTTTTTTAGGTTTTTAGGTTTTAAGCAGACAGCCGACCCATCTTCAATGTTAACCTTACTCTGCAGAGAAACATAAAGACCTACACAAAGCTTTAAGGTAGTGTCTCACATGGCTGTGACAGCTGCAGACTAATTGTGAACAGCATTTGCACTGGTGTTTCCAAAATGTCTTGAAATGTAATTTTCCTCGTTTAGCACTTTCCCCTTTTATTTGTTTTAGCAATTTCAGGCTAACATAGTAAATTAAACAGTGTTCTTAAAGGTTTAACCTTGCGTGGACAGTTGAGGCTTGCAGTTTAGTTTTTTTTTTCAGTTCTTTAAAACTAGAACTGTATTTTGACACCTACACTGGAGCTTYCCTGTTATCCAAAACTTAAGTGTTGAATATTCAGGTCTAAAAATCCCACTGGTGATAAATAATTGTATAAATTAAAACTGGTCTGAGTTTGACTGTCTTCACTTTTAAAGTGTAGCTGCTGAGGTGTGTCGAGGCGGCACTATGTGGGCAGAGATGGGCAACAAAATAATGTTTACAGCCTTTTTAGTTTGAGGCCCACAAAATAGCAGGTGCAGAAACATGTGGCCCCCAGATATTACTGGTTTATTTATATAAACTGTGCTTATAACTCGGGCATTATAATAATATAAACAAACCTAAAAACTGCTGTATGATACTAATTTTATTAATTTATTATTATTATTGTAAATTTGGTTTTGCAATAATTATGGAAAAAATATTCCATTAGTAATTTATCTACATTTAAAGTGATGTCTGGATGTCATCTGGGCACCCTCACTTGATGTTTCATGACCAACAAAGGTGCTCCAACCCTAGCTTTAGGAACCACTGGCCTAGACTACAATTTTTCAAGCTGTGCACACAATGAGTTTTTAACCAATCCCCAGTCAAAATGCAACTACAAAGCTTAATGGTTGCAAGCATTCAGATTTCATCGAGTTTTGAACCTGCAACATAAAATGTGCCCATTTCCCCACACTTTTCTTGCAGTTCTGAGTTGTTGATTAGTCTCTTGCAGTCACAGCCATGTGAGATAGATAGCACATGAACAAAGAAGTAGAGTGAATCAAAACAGCCGGCTTCCTCGTCTTTTTATATTATGCTAGGTATCAAGTGAAATGCTTCACAGTCTGTGATCTGTACCAGTCGACAAAGAAAACAGATGCTAAGCTGCCCACCTGAACCAAAACAACAAAAACACCGATAGACATTTTTTCTGTTCTGCTCCAGAAAGTCTGCTAGTGTGTGCATATGTGGAAGTGCTCTATGAAGTTTTTTTTGCTTGGTTTTTTGTTTACCGCAATTGGGGTTGCCCTGTTTCCTAGACCCAGCGATCTCATTGCCGTACTTGTCCACGCACCAACACTGGCCGGTGTTGCTGTGACACTGGGTTGGTTTGTAGTAGCCTTCGTCGGTACAGCGAGGAATATAGGAGCCTGGAGACAAGATGGCGGGATCAGAAAAACAAAAAGAGAACACAAAAGAACAACAAAAAAAGAAGGYGAAATAAGGTTAAAGAAAGGAGGCAAGCAAAGGTTAAGAACATCAAGTTAGTAAAAAAAAAATAAAATTGAACATGTAATCTGATTACTGCTCAGCGGACGGTCAGGTTTCCTGAGGGAACAACTAAAGTTCTTGGGTATTCACAGAGGGAGATCAACAATCAATTACTCCTGTGAAGGTTGCAGGACAACAATCAAACATCCTGCCTAAGAGAAAGCAGTCACTTTCAATAACCCAGAGGCAAACAAGCATCCCCTCCAAACACACCCACACACCCACACATATCCTCTGTTACCTTCATTTGACCCAGTCTTAGCTCATTTTTAAAGCTATTTAGCAGAAAGCAGGTACACCACACAAACAGCCCAAAGGGAACTGAGACGTTTGTARCTGGATGGGCTTTATTCTTTGTTGTTGTTTTTTAAAGTCTGTCATTGCGATTTCCCTCATTTTGAAATAATGAAGAAAAATCTGTTCYTTATATTAAAGCATGTTTTTAATCCAAGGGCATCAAGAGGAGACAGCGCACGACAACTGGCACTTTGTCAGACTGACCTATGAGGCTCTTTRTTCGACTCTGATTCTGGATCCTGCTCTTCTCTGTTTGACAAGGCAGTCCTGRAATGTGAGAAGAAACAAAAAGATTTCAATAATTTTTTGTCCTCACATCTTTCTCAGTCATACCATTTTAATTTATAATAGTCACAGTTCTTATATTGGTCTCTTTCATTGTCAACATAACTGTATTCATCATCCTAAGCATCCACTTGTTAACCACTCTTCTGGGACTTTCAATGTTAAACTAAATCTATTATTTTCATCTCTTTGTCCATCATTCCTTTTCAGCACCACACACTTTTTCTTCTTAAACAGCTACAACTTATTCATTCCTAWCACTAGTGCCACATACACGTTTTTCAGCTTGGGCCTTTTACTCAGCGCTCATTGGGTTGGTTATAATCAGAGGTAGTCTCTAAACATGAGAGTATTTATATGTTGGCTTATTAACATGTTTATTGGAACAAAGTTGATCTGAAGATGCAACATTTACAGCCCTATAGATCAAATGTTGCCACATGTTTTTAATCAGAACTTAAACAATAAAAATAAATGTAACAAYACATGGGTTTTTACGATGTAAAAYCAAGTGTMCATTGCCATGTAGCATGTCAGTGCAGCATGGCTTTGCCTGCAGCAGTGGACTTGCAGAATGAAATGMGACCAAGTTCAAATGTGTTTTCTACCAACTTGTGCATGTCAAGTCAGCAGGTGTTTGTGATGARGGTAATTGTGTGACAATATGAAGTTTAAAGAGAATTTTAGTTAAAGTTGCTGTAGCTGGGTTTTGAACCCTGATCTCCCACATGAAAGCCCATGYCATTAACCATTAGCCATTGGAGCTGTGGCACAGAKGATTGCCAGGAGTTGSTTTGTATGTGTGCTGAAAGAGGCCACATTACCAATGCAATTGTTGACACTAAACTGCAATATARCACAGCAATAMAGCAATWTTAAGACAKTATAAAAGTCAAACATCAAAATAGAGTCATATTAGTATTGTAACCACTGAACTATTGTGATTAAATATTATTAAACTATGTTTCAGTACTGAGTAGATACAGCAGGGGGAAGTATTGGACCAATACAAGGTTCCATTGACACCCATTATAAATTATTAAACATTAATATTTCAAAAACCATACGTTGTACAGGCACCAAAAGGCATAGCCATCATTTGGCACAGGAGCTTTACAGAAATAAATTACAATGGCAGCTCTAGGACAAAGTACACAGGAGGAGAAGTGTGACAAAGAGGAGATGACTTGGATGGGAAACGAATCACAATAGTATGCATTGCATTGGCAATGCACACTGACAATTGTACTGTAGAAACAAATACACATGTTTCAACTTANTTAAACTACACTGTATTTATTTGGCATTTTTAGCTTTGTTTGACTTTCTCTGAGCCCTCTTCAATGTGTGTTTGATTTATTTGTTCACACACCRACACGCAAACTCAAWCAGCACCTTTGATTCTATATAATARGTAGACAATCCAATATATTTCTGTTATTTACTTGTGCTCCAGAAATYCACATTAAGACACAGATAATCACTGAGCATATTGGAAACAATGTGGACTCAGTGTCTTTCCCCAGGTACACCTTGCACTGCTACTGGACTGTGAATCAATCCCTCACGTTACTCTACCCTGAAAATTGTCTTATAGTTYGCTTTTCTTATATTTTTATTGGATAAAAACACAGAAAATGTCAACAAAATCTGAAATTAACAAGCATGATCAGTAGGTGACAAAAGCATTTTTATGCACACATTCTCTTTAAACAATCTTTTYACTACACAGCTGAAGTGTAAAAGCAGCAGGGTAAGAACATAGCTTCCAGGATACAAGATATGAATGTTGTGGTTTCTGTAGTGGTTATTACACAGAATAATAATTGATGCCTGTAGAAAATAGGCTTCAACACACTTGTCTTCATAAAATGGRCAGTTTTTAAATCTAAACACAAGGGCACAAAAACAAACTGTCACTTTGTAAAGTTTTTTTTTAAAGTCTGTTTTTATCACCAACAACTGCTATTTGCATTTAAAAGACAGGAGCAAATGTGTCCGACTGTGTTCATTTTGCAAAAGATCCTCATMGCAGGCAGATTATAAACTGGATTGCCCATAATTTGAGCAAACTGGGTTGTTAACTCAGCGCAGCGCTGGAGGCCCGCTATACTCACTGCTGTTCRCAACCCTCCATTTGCAAAATCAAGAACAGCAACCATCAACAAAGTTCAGGTMTAAGCAAAACCTTAAAAACAACTGAGCTAAAATTTGTGCATGGCTGTTAAAAAAACGAGAGCAAATGTTTTCTGGCAGGAAGCAAATTCACAAGAAAGGAAGAAAAAAAACCCCACAAAGGTCAACTCAGATATATATGTGGCAAAAAGAAAAAGAAGAAAAGAAAGCTGGCTTAAAGAATTGTAAATATGCTTTTAAAATGTCAGCTGTGCAGAGTTTTTAATTCTCTAGAGGCAAATTCAACTGATGCTTACTGTTATGTTTTTTCTCTCTCTCAAAACTGAATCGATTTRGGTGCAAACTAACTATTTTTAATAAAAGGCGACAGCCACCACAAATTTTTTCTTGAACAGATTTCTAAGTCGCACATTTTCCTTCTCTGTCCATTTTTTTCTTCTATTTTACCTTTTCCCCAAAAGTGTATGTTGTCCCCCCCTCCATTAGTTTCAGCTGCCTCACCTTCAGGCTTCTGGAAGCAGTAGCACCACTCGTTGTTAGACAGCTTGCCATCCTTAAAGGAGTCACAGGAGTTGAAGAGAGGCTTCATGCACAGCTCATACTTGTCCAAGTAGATGGCATTCAGCTCGGATTGGTCCAGCAGGAGGTCAAAGTTCATATCGAGCTTGTTGAACATCCAGCCCAGCGAGTCCTTACAAATAGGCAAGATGCTGGTGTCAAAATCTGGTGGAGAGTAAAAAAAAAAAAAAAAAAGGAACATGTACGGGTCAGAAACTTATTTTTTAAAACATTTAACAGCAGAGTACCAGGATTTGAGTGAGTGTGAGGGCTGTCGTTGGCAGAGCTGAGATGTGTTACGACATGTTGACATTACAGAGAACAGAGAAGGGTCACAGCTTTCACACAGACTGAGAGGCACACACAAACACACAAACACACAGAGGCAGAAATATTTCAGGTGTGTTGTTTTAAAAACACTCACGTCCAGCAGTGGAGTCAGAGCTGTCAGAGGACTTGAGGTCTCTGTTGGCATCAAGATGGAGAACTCCGAACCAGTCCTTCAGCCTGGCAGCCAAACTATGGAGCTCCGAGTCAGAGCAGGCTGCGCATCAACACACAAACACACAATAACAGGAGGAAGCTGAGTTTGTCAGTCTGATGCTGTCATCACTGCAGAAACCAAACAAATCCCCTCTCGCGCACAGTATCAAACTTTCATTCCATTTATCTCGTATTTGTACCTTTTCGCTTTCATTCAATTGTAATTTTCCAACATGTTTCTTTTCTCCCCGAGCGAACACAGGCTCAGCTTCTGCCACCTTTTGAAAGTTACCATAGGAACCGGTTCTGACACGCACAAATATACAGGCAACTATTTTAGAGTTTCCAGGTCTGCTGTCGTTTAGTGTTTGCTTCCTGTTAAYATGAAACACTTTATCTGAGCGGGTGAACTCAGTAACACGCACACATCACAGCTGGACAGAAGGCATTTATGTAGTTCATGTCATAAAAGCKCGGAACTAAAAATAAACACATCTGCAGTGAGAAAGCACTTTATCTTTGTGTTTAGCTTAGATAAATCGGTCTGTATATTTATGCAGGATCTCACTCACTTTGTGCAACTGCACTGAAAGCTGAGCTGACACCATCTCTTCCAGAATATGTAAAATGATATCACTAGTAAAAAGAGAGAGAGAGAGAAAAATCGTAAACCAGAGGACAGAAAAGGGCGTGTATTTTCTTTTCCCCCCCCAGCTGGATTGATAAAGTCTGTCTGCAGCTCAAGCAGACCTCTGCCTCGCTTTCAGTCTCTAAACTTTTTTTTCTCTGTGTCATGCATTTGATTGACAATCTTTTTTTCCTCATTGAGTTTCCCTTTAGAGCTTGATAAATGTGCCCAGAGGACGAGTCATTTCCCCCCCTTCTTATCGAGCCTGTCAATCCAAGCCCTCTGGCTTTGACACGAAGTGCAAGGTTGCCAACATTTCTCTTCTTTCAGAACTGAGGCAGTTTTAGGCAAATCATGCAGAAGTATGAAGCTTATATATTTCTTTATAAGGATCTGCTATTATGGATGTATTTTTAGAAATAAAAACTAAAGAGAAATGAAAGGCCTAATACTAAAGGAATGTACAGTATATTGCCACTGACTTTCCTCTCAAAGATTTAAACTAAGATCATTTTATGTTGAGAAATGATGAAGTTATTGTGACTTTGGTCAATCCTCTGAAATAGTGATATGCACAGCTGCAATATCTCATGTGATCTTGTATGAGTGTCATCTCCTACCACAGTTTGTGCTCTATATGATGACCAACATAGTAACATTTGTCTGGCACAGTCCTGGCCCACACAATGCACCAACACTCGGCCCAGATACCAAAAAGAATGATGGCAATTTAGTGGACCAGATGTGGTGAGATGAGGTGGTCCATGCATGGGCGAGCACCACATACAAACCACAACCAAGCCAGTTGGTACACTGACAGATTTTAACCACATAAACCAAACCACAACTGGGCCAGTTMTTACACTGAAAGACTTGGACCACTTAAAACAAACCATAACTGGGCGAGTTGTTACATTGAAAGTCTTGGAGCACATAAACCAAACCACAACTGGGCCACTTGTTACATTGATAGATTTGAACTGCATAAATCAAACCACAACTGGGTCAGTTGTTACAATGAAAGACTTGGACCACTTAAACCAAACCATAATTGGGACAGTTGTTATATTGACAGATTTGGACCACATGAACTAAACCACAAACAACCAGGACAGTTGTTACATTTATAGATTTGAACCGCATAAATCAAACCACAACTGGGCCAGTTGTTACTTTAAAAGATGTGGACCACTTAAACCAAACCATAACTGGGCCTGCTGTTACATTGAAAGTCTTGGACCACACAAACCAAACCACAACTGGGCCAGTTGTTACAATGATAGATTTGAACCACATAAATCAAACCACAACTGGGTCAGTTGTTACATTGAAAGACTTGGACCACTTAAATCAAACCATAACTGGGCCAGTTGTTACATTGAAAGTCTTGGACCATATAAACCAAACCATAACTGGGCCAGTTGTTARATTGACAGATTTGGACCACATAAACCAAATCAAAACCGGGCCAGTTGTTACACTGAAAGACTTGGACCACATAAACCAAACCACAACTGGGCCAGTTGTTACATTGAAAGTCTTCAGTCACACAAATCAAACCATAACTGGGCCACTTGTTACAATGACAGATTTGGACCACATAAACTAAACCAAAACCGGGCCAGTTGTTACATTGGAAGACTTGGACCACATAAACCAAACCACAACTGGGCCAGTTGTTACAATGACAAATTTGGACCACACAAACCAAACCACAACCAGGCCAGTTGCTACAGTGACATATTTGGACCATGCAAACCACATCTGGGTCAATTGTGCCATACCATCTATAAAACATGCCATCATTGCCAGACATGGCCCACATCTGGCTGACACAATCACTTTCCACGACATCAATCAGCCAGTAGTGCCAGCTTGACACCAGATCTGGCCCACACCTGTCTGCTATGTAGATAAGTATATCCATTATTGTGTAGGCTAAGTTTGATTAGCTGTGGTTGCCATCTTGAACTGGGTCATCTCTACAAGTTAAGTAGTTGTAGATGTCAACACAATAATTAAAGTCTAAGAGTTCCATTAAAATCCATTCAGTAGGATACTGACACACACACACACACACACACACACACACACACACACACACACACACACACACACACACACACACACACACACACACACACCCCCCCCTCTGAGTGTCATCTGGATTCCTCTGCAGCTCTCTGCCTGTAAAGCGATCGGCTCGTCGGCCTTTCANCACACACACACACACACACACACACACACACACACACACACACACACACACACACACACACACACACACACAATAACATTATCACACTGCTTTGCCTTTGGCAACGGGCGATAACTACTCCCCTCCAGATCCAAATGCAGAGACAAATTATGCAAAGTCTCCCTTTGACTCAGGAATACTCAWGCACATACACACACAGGTATTAAGTCCTTCAGAGGAGAACAGAGCAGAGAGATTTTCTCCATGAACACCAGGATCACACTTTGCTGTTAGAAGATCAAAACGTCAGCAGCATGACATCAAATGAGGAACAGCCATTCTGCAAACATTAGAATGAGATACACACAGACAAGACACTTTTTAAAGTGGGGATTTTCATGCCAAGCTTCCCATTTAGCTTATTATTTCAATTTTTTCTCAAGTTATACCTCTCAGCTGCTTTTAAATCATGTCCTATGTGCACACATGAAGACACACATCTGCACGCACACACACACACTCACGTAGTATTTCTCAGTAATAGTTTGAGACTGTGTATGGCTGCTTCTATAAAGCAGTGGATGCCCGAGGTAACAGACAGGAGCTGGAGCATAGGACAGATAACATTTATCTTACAGGCGCTCAGTGTGACATTACCTCTGGAATAACAAGGTGGGCTCTCTCTCTCTCTCTCTTTCTGTCTGTGTGTGCTTTTAATCCTTTAGGATCATACAGATAACATTTCAAAATTCTCAATGCMCTTTGTTTTCACACTCTGAATCTGACAAAAAAGCAAAAAAATAAAAAAAATAAAAAATAAAACCCAGAAAAAAAACAAAGACCCACCCCCCCACAAAAAAAATAAAATAAATAAACCAAGTAAACACCAACTGTTGTCAACTCAAATAAATTCAAACCAGATAATTAATTTTTTTTGCAATCCAATTCTGCATACTTCATTCTATTTTACACATTCATATWTCAAAACATACAGGACATTCAGGAAATGGGTGCTTTGACTTTTTGGATTTCATAACAGATATACTTTTTTTTTCAAAATATCCATTCATAATCTATACCTGCTTCTTCATTTCAGGGTCACAGAGGTCACTGTTYCCCATATCCAGCAGTCAGAGTGCGAGGGGCAGGGTTCACCCWGCACAGGTCGCAAGTCCATCACAGGGCCACACACAGAGACWAACAACCATTCACTCTCTCKCTCKTAGAGACAATTTAGATTTACCAGTTAACCTAACAGTCATGTTTTTTGGTGTGTGGGAAGAGACCGGAGTGCCCAGAGAAAACCCACACATGCACACAGAGAACATGCAAACTAACTGTCCCTGGGCTGGGATTTGATCTGGTGACCTTCTTGCTGAGAGGCATCAGCTCTACCAACTGAGCCACCATGCCACCTTACTTTTCAAAATATTTATTTATTTATAGAAATCTGCATTATCATTCCTGTTAGATGTATTCTTGTGCTATTTTTAGTGACCATTCTGCAACCTTTAGCTAGTCTTTTGCTGCTTTTAGCCACTGCTACTATTGCATTTTACTATTACATCATGCTCATTTTGGCTTATAGCAAACCTTTTGATGTTTTCTCTATCATTTTGAAATTTTCATCCTTTGGTTTGCTTTTTGTTACTTTTAGCTAGCACTTTGGTTCTTTGAGCTAGTGTTCTGCTCCTGTTTTAAAAAGTCAGTTTTAGCCAGRATTCACACTGTAAAGTTTATATTTGCATTTATTATTTAATCTTCCTTTCTGTTCCTATTTATTGACATTTACAGAAAGGCAGGTTGTGTTTTTAATTGTACTGCTGGTTACCCTTGTKTAATTGTATTTTCTTCCCATTTTCTTTTCCTTTCTCTGTTCTTCCTCTGTCAGTGTTATGAGTTTCAGTCTCAGCCACTCATCAGACCTGGCTGTCCCTAACCCCCTTTCTCTGCTGGACTTAGAAAACCACTTTGATAAATCCCTCTCTCCTATTTCTCTCACCTTAATTGCTTTAAGCACTTCCTTTCCCATTTCGTCTTGCACATCCCCATCAGACACAGATTTAAGTATTTCTGACCTTTTTTATATGGTTTATTTCTGACTCTTGTCCCTTGCCCTTGTTTTTTTTCTCTTCAAACTCTTCTCTCCATTTTCTCTCCTGTAATAAATTCTGGTCTTTGTTCTTTCTGCGTGTGGATTTTTTTTGAAAAGCTATAAAAAGTCAGCTTCAAAACA